GTACCACCACCACCACCACCACCACCACCACCACCACCACCACCACCACCCGGAAACAGCTGCCCGCGGATGGCGGCGTCCAGATAGCCCAACCCGTTCCGGGCGTGAGAGCGCGTGATCTCGTCGCGGTCGCTCCCCGCCGCGCGCTTGAGGGCTCGGTAGGCGAGCCTCAGCTCCGCCGCTGGCACCATCTCCAGGACATCGCCGCCGGCTCCCCGCAGGACCCGGCCCAGGAGGAAGGACGCCCCCCTCCTCGCGAGGGTCGATTCCTCGGAGCCCCCCGTCTCCGTCGACAGGACGCCGGCGGCGAGGTCGACGACGTCGTAAGAGAAACGCCCGAGGGACCAGCGGAGGAGCTGGCACACCTCGGCGAGGTTGGACAGGCAGCTGGCTCGGAAGTGGCACCGCTCCTTGCTCTCAAGCGAAGAAGACGACGACGGCTTCTGGTTGACCGCTGCTGCGGTGCCGCCGTTGACGGCGGCGGAACCAGAGGATGCGGACCCAGCGTTCCCTCCTGGCCCGCCGCCGTTGCCGTCGGAAGACCGTTCCCGCGCCGCCACCACGAACGCGTTGACGAACAGGTGCGCGTGCTTGGGCATGGCATCCCCGCACCGCCGCGCGGAGAGGAGGACGGCCTCTCCTATCTTCAGGCGCTGGGACAATGGCAGCGGTGTCGCCGCTGCCGCGTCCACGCCTGGGGCAGAGCCATGGGCGGCGGCGGCGGCGGTTGCGGTAAAGATGCCGACAAGGCGAGGGATGGACCACCCGGGGAGCGCGTCGGCGAGGGCGGCGAGCCCCTGCACGGCCGCCAGGTAGACGTACGAGTCGCCGTCGCCGGTCATCCTCGTGTACGTGTCAATCAGCCGCTCGGCAACGGCGGTGTCCATGTTCACCCTACCGCCACCGCCGCCGCCACCGCGGCCGCCGCCGCTCGGGCTGCCGTCCAAGGTTGCTCGCATAAGCCTATGAATGGGTTCGACAGTAGGGAACAAGTTGACAAATCGAGGCGTTGAAGCTTCTCGTCGGAATTCTCCTGCATGTCGAGCTACAGCAGCAGCTCGAGTAGCACCGTGTAGTAGAGAGGGACTGCACTCAACGAACACCACCACCCGCACACCCCAAATGAGAGCAAACTGCGCCGCGCTTGGAGAACGGCAAAAACTTCATCCACACATTGACAAGTGCGTAGTTCACGAGCGTACCTTGTGAGCGTCACCACCCCCCTGGCGCGCAACGGCACCGCCTCGCTCCGCAGGTCCTCCTCGGCGGCGTCTAGCGCTGACATCATCCTTGCCGCGCGCGCCTCCTCCTCCCCTTCCGCCTCGCCCCCGGCGCCGGTGCCGCCCTCGCCCACGCGCTCGACTCGCTCCCGCTCCTCTCGCCGCTCCTCGGGGGATAAGCCGCGGCTGAGGATGGAGGCGGACAGGAGAGCGGACATCTCCGCGACCTCGACGCTGCGGTGCCCGGCGGCTAGGCCCTGGTTCGACCGGAGAGTGGGTGGCCGTCGTGGTGTCATCGTAAGTCATCGTCGTTGTTGTTGTCGTTAGGTGCCCAGACATCGCCGTAGTAGTTGGCATCGTCACCGTTTGTGTGTGTCGAGGTGCGAGCGGAGCGGCCGGGATTGTTTGGCAACAAAATCAGGGCGCGCGGCGGGGCGTGGTTGCGCGGGAAGACTTCAGGGAAAGGCATCCCGCAGAGCGATGGGGAAACGTCTACGGTCTGCCGGTGGACACCGCAAATTATATCACGACACGCAGGGGACGCGGCGGAAGTGCTTGGAATCCCGACGTGTCAAGTGATTCGGCGAAACACCCACCCACACTGACGCCAAACAATGGCTGCTCTTGTCGCGCGAGGCCCCTCCGTCGGTACGAAACCCACGACGAAATACAAATGCCACGGCAAACCGTACTTCTACAAGCAGTGGCAACATCGGGTTCTTCTGACGCACGTTCCTCTCACCACCGCCCTTGATCTCTAATTCCTATACCGCATGCATACGTCGCTTGTGGCTATCGCACCTTGAGCGGTCCGAGCATGGCCCGTAGCTCCGCTTCCTCCTCCGCCTTCCGCTCCTCCTCTCCCAGCTCTAGGACCGTCGTCAACAGGGCAAGAACAACAGAGCAGAGAGTATCGTCGCTGTTGTCTCCGTGCCCGTCAGCTTCTCCCCCCGACGACCCCAGGTCGTAAACGCCTTCAGCTGCTGCAACTCCTTCTTCTTCCATCTGAGCCACCCTTTCCGTGGCATCGACATACCCATCGCTACCGCCGCCGCTGGTCCGTCCCGCGCCCGCCGTAACCGGTGGCTGCTCGTGCTCCAGCACCAGCCGAATGCACGACAGCATCTGCATGCCCGTGCCGAAGACCCGGGCGCCCAATCTCTCGGCGAGGACTACCACAGAGGCCATAACCGCGTGCTGCTCTGCGGCCGCGGCAGCGGAGGCGGAAGGCTCCGATTGGCCAGTTCCTTCTTCAGCCATCGATGCCACGCCGGAAACCACCGGGGTTCCGCCGCCATCCCTCAGAGACAGATATCGCCTGAGCAACATGTCGAAAACCTGGGCGAAAGCGTGTGGTACGTATTAGATGTGGTACGTATTAGATGTGGTACGTATTAGACACACGAACGCGACGTGTACGTGGTGGCAGGCCCGCAGCACGACATCGAAACGAAGTCGACGACGGTGTCGTTGTCGGGAGTGGTCCACGAACAGGACATGGACTGAACGATACCAATGTTGGCGGGATGAAGTGCCACTGGGAAACGGCACCGCCTCCCGACAAAGTACAGACACCATCCAATATCCGCACGCCCTACCACGCGAACCCAGCGAACAACACATCTTCAAAACACACATAAAAAAGGACTTCAACACGTCCCCTTCGACTGTGAATAAATCTCGAACGGGCAGTTTTTTTTGTGTTTGTATGTCTACTTCGAAGTATTTGCTAAAAAACGCACCGACTCTCCGCAGCAGACACTCGCTACTCCTGTTACCGAAGACCATTCCCCCCTTCGTCCTTTTATCCACACACCTTGCCGGCAACGGGAGAGCTCTCGCCCAATCCTTCCAGCAACTCGGCCGCCGCCCGGGCTCTCCCTTCCGCCTCTTTCAGCCCCGCCAGCGCGCCTACCAAGCCCGCTCCTGTCCCCCCCCCCGGCCCGGCCGCCACGGCTGCGGACCCAACCAGCCTCAGCGTTTCCGGATCAAGCCCCAGCCCTTCGAGCGCCGCTTCCATCCCCAAAAGGCTTCCGTCTGCTGCTGCCGCTGCTGCGGGACCCCCAGTGGCGGTGGCACCCGAGCCCGCATCATCATCGACCAAGCCACCTCCCGCGGGCCCTCCTCCCGCCACCGCTGGCACTGCTGCTGCGGCGCGAAGCACGGTACCGCCTGTGGGGCCCGGGGAAAACCGCGCGCCCTTCTCCCCGCCTCCCCACCCCGTTCTTTGGACCGGGAGGAGACCGGCGACCAAGTCCGAGGCGGCTGTGGCGGAGGAGGGGAGGAGGGCGGAGAGGCACGCCTTGGTGCTCTGGAGGTTGCGGGATTTCGCCCTGTTTGAGCGGCGAGGGGTTCGACGTTGAGTGCGCGCGAACGCGTGGGGGGGTCGGCAAGGGCGTTGTGGCATCGATCATTTTCCTGCCGACACCAAGTGCGCACTGAATATGCATGCCTTGTTGTCATGCGCCTGCCGAGCGATATACATATTCTCGCGGGCGGGATAGTTTTTGTACCGTAGACCACCTTCAGGCTTGTTAATAAACCGCACTGTATGCCAAATAAACAGATGTGACAGATCGCTGCTAGGCGTGGCGTGAAGGGGGGATAGGGCAAGGGATAAGCGTGGCACAAAGGAACACCTACTTCGCGGTCATCAGCATCACCTACTCACGTCGTACAGAAGCAGTGCAGCCGGAACAGCGGCACGGTGACGCCCATCCCGGAAAGCAGACCCAGCAGCGCCGCCGGGGTGGGGGCGGCGGTCAGCAGCTTCTCGAGGTCCTCCAAGCACCTCTGCAGCGCCTCCTCGGACGACACAACATCATCCCCTCGAACACCGCCGCCGCCGCCGCCGCCGCCACCCTTTCCCCCGGCAGCAACAGCAACAGCAGCAGTAGAAGCACTCCCCGTCGTTGCGGAAGCTGCAGCCCCCCGCGTACCTACGGGGCGGGATGCGGAGCCCCCTGATTTCCCCGCCCGGGTTGTTGTTGTCGTGTGTCTCTTCGCCGCCGCTGCGGGTGATCGCGAGCCGGCGCCATGAAGTTGCCCTGCCGTGGGACCCCAGAAGAGCAGCAGCGGTCGCAGCAGCGGGACGAGAATCAGTCGCCCCGTTTCCCCGGGCATCGACTCGGAAAGCCTCCCGACGATCATCGCGACGACCCTGACGGGCGGGGGGGGGTTTGAGGGAGAGCGGCCAGGCGCACAGCATCAAGAGAGGACGGGGTCGGCCGTAAGCAGGAGGTCAGAAATGGAGAGCACATATATGGGCCCAAGCTCAGAAGGGAGGCCGTTTCTATTATTGGGTTTGCTGAACGGCTACGAGTGCAAGGGCGGCGCCCGCGTGCGTGCATTTCTGCTTCCTGCATCCCATAAAATTGGCAGCCCTGAAACTGCCAAGCAACAGTGGTGCCTCGCTCTTCAAGAAACTAAAGCTGCCGTTGGTGTGCTCCTATTCTGCCCTGCATTTGCTGCACGGCCGCCTCTCACCTCGTCACGATCGCCCTCTGCTGCCCGTCGAAGTGAAGCATCTCCGCCAGCTGCGGCGCGACCCTCGACACGTAGACCCCCGACGCCACGCGCTTCGGGGGCGTCGCCAACAGCTTCGCCACGCGCAGGCACGCCTTCATCCCCTCCCCTTCGTCGTCGCCCCCTCCCCCCTCCCCTCCCGCTCCTGCCCCCGCCAGGTAAACCTCGAGGGTCGCCTGGACGCCGCCGGGCCGCAGCACGATCTCGGACAGTATCCTGCCTGCCCGCTGGCGGAGCCACGGAGGGGCCCGAGCGCCCTGCGAGAGGAGGTGCCGGAGAGCCCCCATGACTTGCCTGGGGCCGGCGTCTTGGACCATTGCTCGCAGGGGTGGCATCATCGAAAGGGGGCTGTGGGCTGCTGCTGATGCCGTGCCGGTTTCCCCCTCACTCGTGACTGCTGCAGGAGGTGGGGACCGGCGGTGGCGGTCCCCTTCGGCTGGAGCGCCGTTCGGTGGCGGCGGTTCGCCGTCGGCGGCGGTGGCGGTGGCGGCGGCACGCTCGTCGCCGTCGTTGTCCGGAACCGTGAGGGCTGAGGTCGGGGTGGTTGTTACCGCCGCCGTTGCGGCTGTCGCTGCGGCCATGGCGACGGCGGTACGGCCGAACACGAGCTGCAGCCTCGCGGCGAGTAGGTCCGGCAGGTAGAGCGGCATCAGCATCGGCATGAACTGCCCGGACGTCACCACCCCCTGAACAACCTCCGCGCACAGCGCGAGCTGAGCGTACGCGTCCGCGCCACCCGCGGTTGCGTCTCCCTCGCCGCAGCAACGAGCTGGCTTTGCAGCGGGCCAGGTAGCGACAGGATCACCACAAGAGGAAGAGGCGTTCGGACGACGACGAGGGGGAGAAGGCCCGTCGCCGGTAACACGCCGCTTCTCTGCGCTCCAGTAGTGCAGGACTCTCCGGGAAATCTTGACCGCCCGGGACCGCGGCCGCTTGTCGGCCTCGAAAACGCCCACCCCGGCCTCGAGCACCGGGACCAGACCCCAGTGGACCACAACCTCCAGCGCCGCGTGGATGACGGTGTAGTCGCGCAGCGAGAGGAGGCCTTTTGGGGGCCGTGGAGGTGCTGCTGCTCGACTCTTTTTCTTTCTGCACACGTGTTGGTTGCAAGGTGACGGAGGTGTGATGCCGAAGCGTTAGCACCAAGGTTTGGGGCGGCGGCGGGGGTAGGGGTACATGAAGGACAGAAAGAGAGAGAATGAACGGGAGACACCGGGGGGGGAAATGACGTGGAACCAGTAGACAGAAGCAGAGGGAGGCACAAAACGCCCGGGGTACAACAGAGACAAAGAGAAACTAAAAGTATGTCACGTATGACACACGGGGCAGCAGTTGATGCGCCGGTGCGAACGTGTAACTCGTCTCGAAAAAGCTTATAGTAGCCAGGCGAGTCACGAGGACGGTCATACCGAGGACTACTTTCGGAACATATGTTTTGAGCAAGAGAGCCTTCATAGGAGTCTGTTTCAGGAGAGACGGGGGCATTTTGGGTACGGGCAGCGTGTGTGGAGGCCATGCGAACAGACGACGAACAGACACGTAACATATCTGGGCGAGAAGTGAGATATGTACCTCGCGGCTTCCTCTTCACCGCCTTTCGCTTCGCCTCCAGATGTCTGCTGTGCCTCTGCCGCCGCCGCCGCCTGCTCAGCTTCCTCCTCCTCCTTCTGCTCCAAAGCTTGGAGCGCGCTTTCCTCGCGGTCCAGCACGCCGACGGTGCGGTACAGGTCTTGCAACAGCGGCAACCACTTCGTCTTCAGGAAGGTCCACCTGGTTTCGGGTTTGTTGGAGGGGCTGCTCTCAATTGGACAAGCCGCTGCTTTTATTCGTAAGCAACCGGGCTTTGTGCGTGCCATGCTGCTGCCCTACCAACACGAACCATGCTGAACGCGAGCCGAGCAAAAGGTCACAAGAAGGCGTCTCGTTGTCTGTGCTAGCATACCTGAGATCCTTTTGTCCCACGCTTGCAGTCTCTTGTTCTCCGAAACTCGCCTGGGCCTCGGCACCTTGAGTGGCGTCGGAAGGAGCGGGCACGGCTATTCCTGCGAAAAATCGCGCCATCCACTCCTCATCCAACTGCTGCGGTAGGGAGGGGAGGGGGCGCAAGGCGCCGGTGTTCGTGGCCAGATGGCGTGTGGGGGTACGTTGTTACAGTAGCATGACCTCTGCTCCATGCACATGATGCACACATTGTAGCCATGGTAGCCCTCAAGGCACCGCAGATATCCTCTCGTGAGTGCCCGAGGATGGGGAGCATAGAGGCTGTAGCGTACTGCTGTGGTGTGGCACATCTCCCCTTTGGTTGTTCTCCTCAAGGCACATATCTCAACCAAATTAAAAGCCACGAAGAGTCAGCATGACCCATTTCAACCTTGTTCGCCCGCATGTGGCAATAAAGCAGCAGCAGCAATGGCTGTACGTCTCTGGCCTGTATCATACGTCTGCCGGTGTGCTGAACACTGCACAAGCTGTACACCTGCCGTTGTCACGGGACTGTCAACTTTGCCTTCCTCGTAGGAGAATCCTTGCCTCGTTCGCAATCTTCTCCGAAGCAGAGACCCGCTCCAGCTCGGTCACAGCTCTCCCGAGGCATCGCGTTATTTTACGAAGATGTCCCTCCATTCCTCGCGCGGCGCCCAGCTGTTGCCGGCACTCGTGTGTGGTGTGTGGTCAGGTGCGGCGGGATCAGATCAGTCAAATGTCGAATAGTCGAATGCGGCGTGGCCGGGGGCGCCGTGGGGAAGATTCAGTGCCATGGGGGGAGAAGGGCGTTTTATTAGGCCGCATATCCCTGAGCCCTGGCCAAGTGTCTGTGCTCTTCCTGGTCGCGCGATGAGTACACAGCAGGCCCATGTCCCCCCTTTCGCTGTGTGCTATCCTCGCGAGGGCTGTAGCTATTATCTTATGGGCTTGTCCATTTTCTTGCCCTTGCGAACACTACTACGACCTCAAAAAGGCTGACTTCATCCTCGAGATCTCTCATCATGGTGATGGCACTCGTGCCGTTGATCCCATCATGACGATCAAAGAACGAGACCCTCGCGAAGCGCTGGGCGAATGCGTGAAAGGTGATCCACATGGTTGGACTGCTTGTTCCGTAGGCTTATTTTCGACTGCGGCTGTGTTGCTGCATGGCTCTCTGCGTATATCTTTACATTGCTGTTCCCTACGGCCGTAGTCTTGGACACAGTACGAGTGCTGCTGGTGCATTGCGATCTTTGTGAACGTATTTCGTCCCCCTTTCTCTCCACGAGAAAATGTGTTGTGATGGGATCTGAGTGTCATGTAGTCTCGGCAGGGGAGTATCACATGGTGTTTCCATACGGCAATACCATCACACATGGTGATCTGTATAGCAAACAAAACCGGTCTACATAATATCGTATCCACTCGTCGACCGTCATCCGAACTACTGTACGGTACACAGCTGTCAAGTCAGACAGGTTGAACCACGGGCACAGCCAGAAGCTTCTCGACCTACTCCAGCTAGTGACAGACGATCACCAACGCCTGGCGTTGTTTAAAATCGTCGAGGGGGATTTTCTGGACGAGGGGGGAGCAAACCCACCGATGAGAGAAGCAGCTGGTCTCCGTAGCGCCAACCTTGGCGAGGCCATGGATAGGACAGGTAAGCACACGACGGACCCGTTCGTCCAAGAGGCATTCTTCCGGCACAGTGTTCGAAATTTCCCCGAAAATCCAGTCGACCCTCGGCGTCTTGGGTACAAGTTCGAGCAGAGCGGCCAGGAGCTGCGAGCAATGGAGCTCTACCGCGAGGGCTTGGCGCAAAACCCCGAACGGCTGGACCTGCGGCTGCTGCTCGCGTCTTCTTGCTCTCCTTTTCTGGACGACACTCCCCATCAAGGGGATATGAGGCAAGGTGAACGTGAAGGCGAAGGAAGGTGTAGCTTTGCACAGCGCAGGACGGATACCTCCTTCTTGAAGCACCTGATCGATAATTCGGGTGGCTTAGTTGTGTGTGATGGGCGTGTAGAGCAGCTCGGCCATGGCGGGCCGTAGGGGTAGGTAAAGTCGTACAGACGTGTGGAAAAACGTGTTGTAAACGTGTTGTATTGATCGGGGGCGTGCTTGAGCACGTCATTCCATCACGGCATCAAGTCACGCATAACGCTCAAACACCCAAAACGAAGCTTCATGAAACTCCACCAATCTACCACACTCCCAAGGAAAACATGAAGAAACTTCTTGTTCCTCCGTAGTTCGTCACTGCAATACCCGCATATGTATACGCAATATACCACCCGCATGCTATGCTGCGAGTATATCGAATAGCCCCCTTGCTCGTATGCATCGTCATGCTCCGGGAAAATATCATAGTCATCCTTCTCATACCAGTTCATCCCAAAACATACTCAAAACCAAGAAAACGAAAATACTTCAGACACGACAATGGTATCCAAATAGCATACCAACACACGCCAATCACTCTCGCTCTCTTCTGNGCTTCATGAAACTCCACCAATCTACCACACTCCCAAGGAAAACATGAAGAAACTTCTTGTTCCTCCGTAGTTCGTCACTGCAATACCCGCATATGTATACGCAATATACCACCCGCATGCTATGCT